AAAAAAAAAATGGGAAAACTCTATGAATGGTTTAGGCACATATTTTTATCAATGGTACTGCTTTTTGTTTGAGATATAATAAACTAAACTTTTGATTTGAAATTGGACATTTTAGATTTAATGACCTAATAATTTTTTTTTTTTGAGACAGAGTCTTATTTTGTCTCCCTCGGCAGAGTGCCCTTGGTACAGTGCCATAGTGTCACAGCTCACAGCAACCTGAAACTCTTGGGCTCAAGCAATTCTCTTGCCTCAGCCTCCTGAGTCGCTGAGACTACACATGCCCGCCACAATGCCTGGGTATTTTTAGAGACGGGGTCTTGCTCTTGCTTAGGCCCATCTGGTCTCGAACATGTGAGCTCAGGCAATCTACCTACCTTGGCCTTCAGGAGTGCTAGGATTAGAGGCATGAGCCACCATACTTGGCCCCTAACAATTATTCTTGAATAGACTTTACTGTGAAACTACTTGGGCTCTTTGTAGAAAGTTTTAAAATTAGTTATTCCTCTTTCCTTGCTATTGTCATTGTTGGTTAGCTGGCCTGGGCCAGGTGTGAACTGGCCAAATTTGGTGTATGTGGCTGGTGCAGTAACCATTGTGCTACAGGGCCTGAGCCTTGTTCTGTTTCTTAAGGTGGATAGTTAGGCTATTTATTTGAACTCTTTTTTTTTGGTGGGGGGAATTCATTGAGGGTACAAAGAATTAGGATATACTGATTGCATTTGTTAGATAAAGTTCCTCTTATAATTGTGTCCCACCCCAATAGTGTGCCATACACCATGACCCTCTATCCACCTCCCTCCCCTCTCCCTACTCCCTCGTTCTCCTACCCCACCCCTTGTATTAGCTCATTTACTGCTTTCATATTAGAATTGAGTACATTGGATTTTTGCTTCTGCAGTCTTGTGATGCTTTGCTAAGAAGAATGTGTTCCAACTCCATCCAGGTTAATACAAAAGATGTAAAGTCTCCATCTTTTTTAATGGCTGAACAGTATTCCATGGTATACATATCACAGCTTGTTAATCCATTCCTGAGCTCTTCTTTTTGATATAGCTGCTTAATAGAAACTGATAAATTTCTAAGCACTGCTTTAGCTGCTTGCCCTAAATTTTGGTTTTTTATGGTTTTATTTTCATTCATGTAGAAGTATTTTCTACTTTTCATTGTGGCTTTTCTTCATTTACTCTTTGGTTATTCAGAAGTGTGTTGTTTAATTTCCTTCTGTTAATGATTTTTCACATGTTCTCATTTTTGTTGGAAAACATACTTTATATGATTTCAGTCTGTTTAAGTTTTGTTGAGGCTTATTTTATGTCCTAGTATGTAATTTGTCCTGTAGAATGTACAGTTTGCATTGAAGAATGTGGATTCTTCTGTTGTTAGGTATTATGTTTGATAGATGTCTCTTAGTTCTAGTGGGTTTATGTGTTCAAGTCTTCTGTATCCTTGTTGACCTTCTGCCTAGTTTACTCCATTTTTGAAAGTAGGGTATTGAAGTCTTCA